CAGAACAAGTAATAGAACATAACATATGGAAAGGGTCAGGAATCAACAGGCAATTCTGGATTTGGATGATTAGTAATGAGGCAGACTTGTTTAGGGAGCTAAAGATCAAAGAAGCCCTGGGGGCAGTGACAAAACAATGCAGTTTGAGAGGGAGAATCTGGAATCAGATGTAACCGTGTTACAATTGAAAAAGTTAAATACAAGACATAAGGGAGGAGCTGGCCAGAGTTGATTGCAAAGGGATCCTAGCAGGAAGACAGTGGGAAGAGTAAGGGTAGGACTTTTTGGGGGTAATTCAGGAGGTACAGCAGAATTTCATCTCCAGGAAGAAGAAACATATTGAGGGGAGGATGAGGCAACCATGGATGACAAGGGAAGGCAAGGACAGTATAAAAGCAAAAGAAAAGGCATACAATGTGGCGACAATTAGTGGCAGGCAATATAGGGGGAGAAGTTGGAACGAGAGTAAGCTAGCTAGTAATACAAGATTGCAAGAATACATTTTAGATATCAAAAAGGTAAGCGAGATTGGACCACTGGAAAATGAAGCTGAAGTAGTAGTAATGGGGAACAGAGATATGGTGGAAGAACTGAATAGGTACTTTCATCAGATTTATGGTGGAAGACACCAACAGCAAATCAGAACTTTGACAGAGTCAGGGGACTTGAGTAAATGCAGTGCCCATCACTGAGGAAAAGGTGCTGGGGAAATGAAAAGTCTAAAGGTGGATACATTACCCGCACCAGATGGAGTGTACCCTGGAATTCTGAAGGAGATAACTGAAGAGGTTGTGGAGATCATGGTGGTGATCTTTCAGGACTCTCTGGAGACAGGGAGGGTCACAGAGGACAGGAAAATGGCTAATGTAACATCCCTGTTTAAGAAGGGAGGGAGGCAGAAGACAGGAAACTATAGAACAAAGAACAAAGAAAATTACAGCACAGGAACAGGCCCTTCAGCCCTCCAAGCCTGCCTGATCCAGATCCCCTATCTAAACCTGTCGCCTATTTTCCAAGGATCTGTATCCTTCTGCTCCCTGCCCATTCATGTATCTGTCCAGATACATCTTAAATGATGCTATTGTGCCCGCCTCTAACACCTCCGCTGGCAACGCATTCCAGGCATCCACCACCCTCTGCGTAAAGAATTTTCCACTCATATCTCCCTTCAACTTTTCCCCTTTCACCTTGAAATCGTGACCCCTAGTAATTGAGTCCCCCACTCTGGGAAAAATCTTCTTGCTACCCACCCTTGTCTATATCTCCCATGATTTTGTAGCCTCAATCAGGTCCCCCTCAACCTCCATCTTTCTCATGTAAATAATCCTAATCTACTCAACCTCTCTTCATAGCTAGCGCCCTCCATACCAGGCAACATCCTGGTGAACCTCCTCTGCACCCTCTCCAAAGCATCCACATCCTTTTGGTAATGTGGTGACCACATATGTACACAGTATTCCAAATGTGGTCGAACCAAAGTCCTATACAACTGTAACATGACCTGCCAACTCTTGTACTCAATACCCCGTCCGATGAATGAAAGCATGCCATATGCCTTCTTGACCACTCTATCCACCTGCGTTGCCACCTTCAGGGTACAATGGACCTGAACACCCAGATCTCTCTGTGCATCAATTTTCCCCAGGGCTTTTCCATTTACCACATAGTTCGCTCTTGAATTGGATCTTCCAAAATGCGTCACCTCGCATTTGCCTGGATTGAATTCCATCTGCCATTTCTCCGCCCAACTCTCCATCTATCTATATTCTGCTGCATTCTCCAACAGTCCCCTTCACTATCTGCTATTCCAACAATCTTAGTGTCATCTGCAAACTGGCTAATCAGACCATCTATACCTTCCTCCAGATCATTTATGTATATCACAAACAACAGTGGCCCCAACATGGATCCCTGTGGAACACCACTGGTCACAGTTCTCCATTTTGAGAAACTCCCTTCCACTACAACTCTCTGTCTCCTGTTGCCCAGCCAGTTCTCTATCCATCTAGCTAGTACACCCTGGACCCCATGCGACTTCACTTTCTCCATCAGCCTACCATGGGGAACCTTATCAAACACCTTACTGAAGTCCATGGATATGACATCTACAGCCCTTCCCTCATCTATAGGCTGGTTAGCATGAGGTGAAATGAGGAAGGAGCATTAGCCTGTGTTTTCAAATAAACCTGTTGGACTATAACCTGGTGTTGTGTAATTTTTGACCTTGTTCAACCCAGTCCAACACTGGCAACTCCACATCTTAAGTGCTACTCAACATGAAGGAGTACTGTTTCATCATCCTAGGGAGGACGGTACGTGGTAATCAGCAGGAGGTTTCCTTGACAATGTTTCACCTGAAGCATGAGACTTCATGGGGTCTGGAGTCAATGTTGAGGACTCCGAGAGCAACACCCTCCCGACTGTATCCCACTGTGCTGCCCCCTCTGCTGGGTCTGTCCTACCGGTGGGACAGGACATATCCAGGAATGGTGATGGTGGTGTCTGGGACATTGTCTGTAAGGTATGATTCTGTGAGTATGACTATGTCAGGCTGTTGCTTGACTAGTCTGTGAGACAGCTCTCCCAATTTTGGCACTAAACCCCAGAGGTTAGTGAGGAGAAAAGTGCAGGGTCAACAGGGCTATTTCGGACATTATTGTACCCGTGCCATGTTCAACTCCATGTGGTCTGTTTGGTTTCATTTTGTGTTGGGACTTGGTCGTGATTGATATAACTGAGTGGTTTGCAGGGCTTTTTCAGAGGGCAGTTGAGAATCATTGGCTCTGGAGTCACACTGATGCTAGACCATGTGACAGCCGCAGATTTCCATCCCCAAAGAACATCCCAACAACGGTTGGAAGATTGTTTTTAAATGCAATTCCAATTCCACCATCTGTTGTGGTGTGATTTGAACCTGGGTCCCCAGAACATTAGTTGGGTCTCTGGATTACTAGTCCACGAATAATACCACGAGGCCATTGCCTACCCTATTCCAAAGGAACATCAAGAGGCCATTCTGCCCCTTCAGCCTGTTAGAGAAACAGGAAAGGTAGATGTGGGAGTGAGTGGAGGAAAGGATGAAGGTGAGTAAGTTGCATGGGAAGGGGAGGAGTAACAAAAAGAGGTTGCTGGAAAAGCTCAGCAGGTCTTTTTTTTTTTATTCATTCACGGGATAAGGGCGTCGTTGGCCAGGGAGCAGGGCGGTGCATTAAAGTAGCAGACAACAAGTAGTTCAGTAGTTCTTTTTTGCAAGCAGAACGTAGATGTTCTGCGAAGCGGTCGCCAAGTCTACGCTTCGTTTCCCCAATGTAGAGGAGACCACATTGTGAGTAGCGAATGCAGTAGATTAGATTCTTGGAAGTGCACGTGAAGTGTTGCTTCACCTGAAAGGTATGTTTGGGCCCTTGGATTCTGGGGAGGGAGGAGGTAAATGCACCTTCGCCGGTTACACGGGAAGGTGCCGTGGGGAGGTGTTGGGAGTGAAGGAAGTGTGGACCAGGGTGTCCTGGAGGGAACAGTCCCTGCGGAAGGCGGACAAGGGAGGGGAGGGGTATATGTGTCTGGTCATGGCATCTTGCTGGAGGTGGCGGAAATGGCATCTGATGATCTTCTGGATGTGGATGCTGGTGGGATGGTAGGTAAGGATAAAGGGAACCCTATCGCTGTTGTGGGAGGGAAGAGAAGGGGTGAGGGCGGAAGTAAGGGAGATGGGTCGGACCTGGTTGAGGGCCCTGTCCACAATGGTGTTGGGGAATCCTTTGTTGAGGAAGAAGGTGGACATTTTGGAGGCTCCCTGTCGAAGGTGACATCATCTGAGCATATACGACAGAGACAGAGGAACTGAGAGAATGGGATGGAGTCTTTACAGGAAGTGGGGTGTGAGGATGTATAGTCCAGGTAGCTGTGGGAATCAGTGGGTTTGTAATGGATATTAGTCGCCAGTCTATCCCCAGAAATGGAAACAGAAATGTCGAGGAAGGGAAGGGAGGAATCAGAATTAGATCAGTTGAAAGCGAGGGCAGGGTGGAAATTGGAAGCAAAATCGATGAACTTTTCCAATTCCAGACGAGAGAGGGAAGCAGCACTGATGATGTCATTGATATAGTGGAGAAAGAGTTGTGGGTGGGAGCCGGAATAGGACTGAAACAAGAAATATTCCACATACCCCATAAAAAGACAGGTATAACTGGGGTCCATGACAGATCCAAAGTATTTGTTTAGCTACTCTGCCATCTCTTTGTTGTCCATTATGAATTTACCCGATTCTAACTGCAACGGATCTACATTTAACTTCACCAGTCTTTTTCTGTTCACATATCTATAGAAGCTTTTGCAGTCAGTTTTTATGTTTTCTGCAAGCTTACTTTCATATTCTATTTTACCTTTCCGAATTAAATCTTTGTCCTCCTCTGTTGAATTCTGAATTTCTCCCAGTCCTGAGGTTTGCTGCTTTTTCTGGCCAATTTATATGCCACCTCTTTAGCTTTAATACTGTTCCTGATTTCCCTTGTTAGCCATGGTTGAACCACTTTCCCTGTTTTACTCTGATGCCAGACAGGGATGTACGATTGTTGAAGTTCATCCATGGGTTCTTGAAATGTCTGCCATTGCTTATCTACCATCAAGCCCTTAAGGAGCCTTGGCCTGTTTATCCTAGCTGATACATGTTTCATACCATCAGAATTAGCTTTCTTTAAGTTCAGGACCCTAGTTTCAGATTTAACTGTGTCACTCTTCATCTTAATGGAGAATTCTACCACATTATGGTCACTCTTCCCCAAAGGATCTCGCACCACAATGTTGCTAATTAATCCTCTCTCATTACACAACACCCACTCTAGGATGGCTTCCTCTCGAGTTGGTTCCTTGACATATTTAGTCGAGGAAAACCATCCCTCATACTTTCCAGGAAATCCTCCTCCATCACATTGCTACCAGTTTAGTGTGTCCAATCAATATGTAGATTAAAGTCGCCCATAATAACTGCTGTATCCTTCCTGCATGCATCTCTAATTTCCGGTTTGATACAATCCCCAACATCACACCTACTGTTTGGTGGTCTGTACACAACTCCCACCAATGTCTTTTTTCCTTTGGTATTTTGTAGCTCCACCCATACAGATTCCAGGCTAACGTCCTCCCTTACTATTGTGTTAATCTCCTACTTAACCAGCAACACTACGCCCACCTCCCTTTCCTTTCAGTCTGTCTTTCCTAAAAACTGAATAAACCTGGATGTTGAGTTCCCATCCTTGGACACCAGGTGGAGCCAGGTCTCTAGCACCACCCTTATCAGCAGGTTCAATAACAAAGTCAGGGGTGGATCTGGGCCCATGGGGTGCAGTCAGTTCAGAGGGAGACAGATTGGATTGGGTGAGGGGGCAGGGAAATTGAGGTGACCAATGTCATATCGACAATTCTCAAAGAACACGTTGTGCGCAGGAAGAAAGCCAGAGGGAGGGGTCCAGATGGAAGGAGAGTGTTGGAGGTAGGCAAAGGGGTCTGTGGGACAGAGAGAGGACTCTTGTCCAAAGAAATGAGCAAGGAGGCGAAGCTGACAGAAGAAGAGTTTGACATCATGTTGTGCCCGAAATTCCTTAAGGTGGGGACACAGGGATACAACTGAGCCCTTTGCTGAGTACAGAATGTTCAGCATTGGAGAGCGGAAGTTCGGAAGGGATGGTGAATAGGGTAATTAAGGCAGCATACAGGACACTTGCCTTTCAGGCACAGATTATAAGAGCAGGGAGGTTATGTTGGAGCTGTACAACACTTTGGTGAGGCCACAGCTGGAGCACAGTTCAGGGCCACACACTATAGGAAGGATGTGATTACACTAGAGAGGGTGCAGAGGAGATTCACCAGGATGTTGCCTGGGACGGAGCATTTCAGCGATAAAGAGAGGCTGGATAAGCTCGGGCTGTTTTCTTTGGAGCAGAGAAGGTTGAGGGGAGAGACCCGATAAAGGTGTACAAGATTATGAGGGGCGTGGACAGGGTGGATAGAAAGCAGCTGTTCCCCTTAGTCAAAGGGTCAAGAACAAGGGGGCAGAATGTTAACATGAAAGGCAGGAGGTTTACAGGGGAATTGGGATTAATTTCTCACCCAGAGGTTGGCGATCTGGATGAACTGCCTAATGAGGATTGTGCAGGGGGGAAACCTAAAAAGTATTTGGATTAACACTTGAAATGACATAACATTCCAGCCTCTGCGTCAAATGCTGGAAAGTGGGATTACTGTAGATTTGTTGGTGCAGAGTTGATGGGTTGAAGGGTCTCTTTCAAGGCAGACGCTCTCTAGGCTCTCACCTGCTCCTTCAGCTCATCAATGGTCTTTTCGGCCTGTTTCATTTCCTCCAGCAGTTTCTCCCGCTGCTGTCTCAGGCTCTCCAGCTCACTGCACTTTTTCTCCATCACTTTCTGTAGCTTGCCATGCTCCTGCTTTTCTGAGGCGGACAGGTCCCGCATTCTGATGGGAAATCAGAGAATCAGTTACAGAAACAGATCCTGAGACCAGTCCCTATCATGATGACAACTCACACACAACTAAATCCCAGAACAACCTGGGGCTTTCAACTTCTTAGGGCAGGTGCTAGTGCTGTGGTCATGTCACTGCACTGTTAATGCAGAATTTAAAACCAGCATAGTAGAGGGTCAAATTTAAACTCAATGCACACCTGAATTGATCAGTGATCGCTATAAACAGCCATCTGGCTAAGGTCTTTTAGGAAAGGAAACTGTCGTCATTGGGACTAACATTCTTCGCGTACAGGGGCTTTGCTTGTACTGATGGTGGACCTTTAAACTATTTTCGCACAGGAATGGCTTACAGAGTGAAGATACCAAAGGGTGTGATACATGGACAAACCTAGAGAATGAACAGAAATCGATGGGATCTGTTTCTGCTGAAACTCAGAATTGAGGCGCTCTGTGATGCTTAACTACAGATTATCTACTGTCCATATTTACCTCATGTAAATTCAGATGTGTCATATTGACATAATCGATTGTCTCTCTCTCTCATTGAAACAGAAGACGAAGGGAAATGAGCAGAAAGCAGGGGGAGGGGAGGAGTGAGCAGGGTGCGGAGGGGGAGAGGGAGCAGCCCTTTGATTGGATTAGTACCTGGGAGTATGATGTTAATGCTATTACTGAGACTTGGTTGACGGAAGGGCAAGATTGGCAACTAAATGTCCCAGGATATAGATGCTTCAGGCGGGATAGAGAGGAAGGTAAAAGGGGTGGAGGAGTTGCATTACTGGTCAAAGAGGGTATCACAGCTATGCTGAAGGAGGGCACTATGGAGAACTCGAGCAGTGAGGCAATATGGGCAGAGCTCAGAAATAGGAAGGGTACGGTAACAATGTTGGGGCTGTACTACAGGCCTCCCAACAGCGAGCGTGAGATAGAGGTACAAATATGTAGACAGATTATGGAAAGATGTAGGAGCAACAGGGTGGTGGTGATGGGAGATTTTAATTTTCCCAACATTGACTGGGATTCACTTAGTGTTAGGGGTTTAGATGGAGCAGAATTTGTAAGGAGCATCCAGGAGGGTTTTCGAGAGCAGTATATAAATAGTCCAACTCGGGAAGGGGCCATACTGGACTTGGTGTTGGGGAATGAGCCCGGCTAGGTGGTTGAAGATTCAGTAGGGGATTACTTCAGGAATAGTGATCACAATTCCGTAAGTTTTACAATACTGATGGACAAAGACGAGAGTGGTCCTAAAGGAAGAGTGCTGAATTGGGGGAAGGCCGACTATAGCAAAATTCAGCAGGAGCTGGGGAATGTGGATTGGGAGCAGCTGTTTGAGGGTAAATCCACATTTGATATGTGGGAAGCTTTTAAGGAGAGGTTGATTAGAGTGCAGGACAGACATGTCCCTGTGAAAATGAGGGATAGAAAGGGCAAGATTAGGGAACCATGGATGACAGGTGAAATTGTGAGACGAGCAAAGAGGAAAAAGGAAGCAAACATAAGGTCGAGGCGACTGAAAACACACAAAGCTTTGGAACAATATTGGGAAAGTAGAACCTATCTGAAACAAGGAATTAAGAGGGCTAAAAGGGGTCATGAAATATCTTTGGCAAACAGGGTTAAGGAAAATCCCAAAGCCTTTTATTCGTACACAAGGAGCAAGAGGGTAACTAGAGAAAGGGTTGACCCACTCAAGGACAAAGGAGGGAAGTTATCCGAGGAGTCAGAGAAAATGAGTGAGATTCTTAATGAGTACTTTGCGTCGGTATTCACTGAGGAGAGGGACATGACGGATGTTGAGGTTAGGGATAGATGTTTGATTACTCTCGGTCAAATCAGCATAATGAGGGGGGAAAGTGTTGGGTATTCTAAAAGGCATTAGGGTGGATAAGTCCCCAGGTCCGGATGGGATCTATCCCAGGTTGCTGAGGGAAGCGAGAGAGGAAATAGCTGGAGCCTTAACAGATATCTTTGCAGCATCCTTGAGCACGGGTGAGGTCCCGGAGGACTGGAGAATTGCTAATGTTGTCCCCTTGTTTAAGAAGGGTAGCAAGGATAATCCAGGTAATTATAGACCGGTGAGCCTGACGTCAGTGGTGGGGAAGCTGCTGGAGACGATACTGAGGGATACAATCTATTTACATTTGGAAGAAAATGGGTTTATTAGTGATAGGCAGCATGGTTTTGTGCAGGGAAGGTCATGTCTTACCAACTTGATAGAATTCTTTGAGGAAGTGACAAGGTTGATAGATGAGGGAAGGGCTGTGGATGTCATATACATGGACTTCAGTAAGGCGTTTGATAAGGTTCCCCATGGTAGGCTGATGGAGAAAGTGAAGTCGCATGGGGTCCAGGGTGTACTAGCTGGATGGATAGAGACCTTGCTGGGCAACAGGAGACAGAGAGTTGTAGTGGAAGGGAGTTTCTCAAAATGGAGAACTGTGACCAGTGGTGTTCCACAGGGATCCATGTTGGGACCACTGTTGTTTGTGATATACATAAATTATCTGGAGGAAGGTATAGATGGTCTGATTAGCAAGTTTGCAGATGACACTAAGATTGTTGGAGTAGCAGATAGTGAAGGAGACTGTTGAAGAATGCAGCAGAATATAGATAGATTGAAGAGTTGGGCGGAGAAATGGCAGATGGAGTTCAATCCAGGCAAATGCGAGGTGATGCATTTTGGAAGATCCAATTCAAGAGCGAACTATGTGGTAAATGGAAAAGCCCTGGGGAAAATTGATGCACAGAGAGATCTGGGTGTTCAGGTCTATTGTACCCTGAAGGTGGCAACACAGGTGGATAGAGTGGTCAAGAAGGCATACGGCACGCTTTCATTCATCATACGGGGTATTGAGTACAAGAGTTGGCAGGTCATGTTACAGTTGTATAGGACTTTGGTTCGACCACATTTGGAATACTGTGTACAGTTCTGGTAGCCACATTACCAAAAGGATGTGGATGCTTTGGAGAGCGTGCAGAGGAGGTTCACCAGGATGTTGCCTGGTATGGAGGACGCTAGCTATGAAGAGAGGTTGAGTAGATTAGGATTATTTACATTAGAAAGATGGAGGTTGAGGGGGGACCTGATTGAAGTCTGCAAAGTCATGAGAGGTATAGACAGGGTGGATAGCAAGAAGCTTTTTCCCAGAGTGGGGGACTCAATTACTAGGGGTCACGATTTCAAGGTGAGAGGGAAAAAGTTGAAGGGAGATATGCGTGGAAAGTTCTTTATGCAGAGGGTGGTGGGTGCCTGGAACGCGTTGCCAGCGGAGGTGGTAGAGGTGGGCACGATAGCGTCATTTAAGATGTATCTGGACAGATACATGAATGGGTAGGGAGCAGAGGGATACAGATCCTTGGAAAACAGGTGACAGGTTTAGAAAGAGGATCTGGATTGGCGCAGGCTTGGAGGGCCGAAGGGCCTGTTCCTGTGCTGTAATTTTCTTTGTTCTTTGCTTGGCCAACTTCATCCTTACTATCAAGAACTTCGCTTTTAACTCAGGTCAAACGGGTGGCCATGGGTACCCACATGGGCCCCAGTTATGCCGGTCTCTTCATGGAGTACTTTATTCATCGACGGGATGAGGGTGTCACTGACTGGGCAGCATTTATTGCCCATCCGTAATTGCCCAAAGGGCAGTTGAGAGTCAACCACATTGCTGTGGGTCTGGAGTCACATGTAGGTCAGACCAGGTAAGGATGGCAGTTTCCTTCCCTAAAGGGCATTAATGAACCAGTTGCGTTGTTCCAACAATCGACAATGGATTCACGACCATTGTTAGATTCTTAATTCCAGATATTTATTCTATTTAAATTCCACCATCTGCTGTGGCCGAATTTGAACCCAGGTCCCCAGAACGTTATCTGGGTTCTGGATTAACAGTCCAGCAATAACACCACTAGGCCATTGCCGCCCCTAAACATTCCTCGTTCCGGTCCTATTCAGCCCCCACCCATAACTTTCTCAGACATATCGATGATATCATCGGTGCTGCTTCCGGCTCCAAAGTTGGAAAAGTTCACTGATTTTGCTTCAATTTTCCACCCTGCTCTCACTTCCATCTGGTCTAACTCTGACTCCTCCCTTCCCTTCCTCGACATCTCTGTTCTCATTTCTGGGGATACACTGGTCACTAATATCCACTGCAAACCCAGCGACTCCCACAGCTACCTGGACTACACATCCTCACGTGCTGCTTCTTGGAAAGAGAATATTCCATTCTCAAAGTTCCTCCGTCTCCGATGTTCTGATGAAGTTAGCTTCAATGAGAGAGCCTCCAAAATGTCCACCGTCTTCCTCAACTGAGGATTCCCCGGCTCCGTGGTCGACAGGGCACTCAACCAAGTCCGACCCATCTCCCGCACTTCCACCCTCACCCCTTCTCTTCCCTCCCACAACAGCGATAGGGTTCCCCTTATCCTTACCTACCATCCCACCAGCATCCACATCCAGAAGATCATCAGACGCCGTTTCCGCCACCTCCAGCAAAATGCCACCACCAGACACATATTCCCCTCCCCTCCCTTGTCCGCCTTCCGCAGGGACCATTCCCTCCGGGACACCCTGGTCCACACTTCCTTCATCCCCAACACCACCCCACAGCACATTCCCCTGTAAACGGCGAAGGTGCAACACCTGCCCATTTACCACCTCCCTCCCCAATATCCAAATGCCCAAACATACCTTCCAGGTGAAGCAACACTTCACTTCCCACAATCTAGTCTACTGCATTTGCTGCTCACAATGTGGTCTCCTCTACATTGGGGAAACGAAGCGTAGACTGGGTGACTGCTTCGCAGAACATAAGACCATAGGAGCAGAAATTAGGCCATTCGGCCCATCAGGGCTGCTCCGCCATTCAATCATGACTGATAAGTTCCTCAATCCCATTCTTACACTTTTTCGCCATAACCCTTGATCCTCTCGATAATCAAGAACCTATTGTTCTCAGTCTTAAATGTACTCAGTGATCTGGCCTCCACAGCCTTCTGTGGCAGTGAATTCCATAGGTTCACCACTCTCTGGCTGAAGAAGTTTCTCCTTATCTCTGTTCTAAAAGGTCTTCCCTTTACTCTAAGGCTGTGCCCTCGGGTCCTAGACTCTCCTACCAATGGAAGCATCTTCCCAACATCCACTCTGTCCAGGCCATTCAGTATTCTGTAAGTTTCAATTAGATCCCCCCCCCATCCATCTAAACTCCAATGAGTATAGTCCCAGCATCCTCAAACATTCCTCATATGTTCAGCTTTCCATTCGTGGGACCATTCTTCTGAAACTCCTCTGAATCCACTCCTGGGCCAGTACATCCTTCCTGAGAAATGGGGCCCAAAACTGGACACAATACTCCAAATGTGGCCTGACCAGAGCCTTATAAAGCCTCAGTAGCACATCCCTGCTTTTATATTCAAGTCCTCTCAAAATAAATGCCAACATTGCATTTGCCTTCCTAACTACTGAGTCAACCTGCAAGTTTACCTTGACAGAATCCTGGACTGAAACTCCCAAGTCTCTTTGCACTTCAGTCTTCTGAATTTTCTCCCCATTTAGAAAATAGCTCATGCTTTTATTCTTCTTACCAAAGTGCATGACCTCACACTTTCCCACGTTGTACTCCATCTGCCACTTCTTTGACCACTTTCCTAACCTGTCCAAACCACTTTCCTAACCTGTCCAAATCCTTCTGCAGCCTGCCCACCTCCTCAATACTACCTGCCCCCTCCATCTATCTCTGTGTTGTCTGCAAACTTAGCCAGAATGCCCACAGTCCCTTCATCTAGATCATTTATGTATAAAGTGAAAAGTTGTGGTCCCAACACTGACCCTGACTGAACACCACTTGTCACCAGCTGCCATCCTGAGAAAGACCCCTTTATCCCCACTCTCTGCTTTCTGCCAGACAGCCAATCTTCGGTCCATGCTAGTATCTTGCCTCTAACACCGTGGGCCCTTATCTTCCTCAGCTGTCTCCTGTGCGGCACCTTGTCAAAGGCCTTCTTGAAGTCCAGGTAGATAACATGAATTGGCTCTTCTTAGTCTACCCTACTCATTACTTCCTTAAAGAATTCTAGCAGATTTGTCAGGCATGATTTCCCCTTGATGAAACCATGCACATCTACGTTCTGTTCGCAAAGAAGACCCTGAACATTATTCTTTAATCATTCACGGGATGAGGGTGTCGTTGGCTCGGCATCATTTATGGCCCATCCCTAATTGCCCAGAGGGCAGTTAAGAGTCAACCACATTGCTGTTGGTCTGGAATCACATGTAGACCAGACCAGGTAAGGATGGCAGTTTCCTTCCCTAAAGGACATTAGTGAACCAGGTGGGTTTTCCCAACAATTGACAATGTATTCATGGTCATCATTAGATTAGAACAAAGAGAACAAAGAAAATTACAGCACAGGAATAGGCCCTTCGGCCCTCCAAGCCTGTGCCGATCCAGATCCTCGATCTAAACCTGTCGCTTATTTTCCAAGGATCTGTATCCCTCTGCTCCCTGCCCATTCATGTATCTGTCCAGATACATCTTAAATGACTCTATCGTGCCCGCCTCTAACACCTCCGCTGGCAACGCGTTCCAGGCACCCATCACCCTCTGCGTAAAGAACTTCCCACGCATATCTCCCTTAAACTTCTCCCCTCTCACCTTGAAATCGTGACCCCTAGTAATTGAGTCCCCCACTCTGGGAAAAAGCTTCTTGCTATCCACCCTGTCTATACCTCCCATGATTTTGTAGACCTCAATCAGGTCCCCCCCTCAACCTCCATCTTTCTAATGTAAATAATCCTAATCTACTCAACCTCTCCTCATAGCTAGCACCCTCCATACCAGGCAGCATCCTGGTGAACCTCTTCTGCACCGTCTCCAAAGCATCCACATCCTTTTGGTAATGTGGTGACCAGAACTGTATGCAGTATTCCAAATGTGGTTGAACCAAAGTCCTATACAGCTGTAACATGACCTGCCAACTCTTGTACTCTGTCCGATGAATGAAAGCATGCCGTATGCCTTCTTGACCACTCTATCCACTTGCGTTGCCACCTTCAGGGTACAATGGGCCTGAACACCCAGATCTCCCTGAGCATCAATTTTTCCTAGGGCTCCCCAGATTCTTAATTCCAGATATTTTGTTGAATTCAAATTCCACCATCTGCCATGGTGGGATTTGAACCCGGGTCGCCAGAACATTAACTGGGTTTCTGGATTAACAGTCCAGCGATAATACCACTAGGCCATCGTCTCCCCTGTTGCCTGCCACTTTAACACACCACTCGGTTCCCTGGCCAACGTCTCTGTCTCTGGCCAGCTGCAGTGTTCCAGCGAAGCTCAATGCAAGCTGGACGAACAACACCTCATTTTCCGCTTGGGGACCGTACAGCCCTCTGGACTCAATACTGAGTTCAATAATTTTAGGGCCTGAACTCTCTCATGTCCCAGCCCCCTACCCCACACACTGGGGCTTCTTAACGCATAGTCTGCCATTACACACAATCTACTGTTAGTCAGTAATAGTCTCCATTAAGAAAGGGTTATTTACTTTCCTAGCTCCCCAACTGCCCCCACCCAAGGTCGTTACCCGCTCCTTTGTCTGTCCAACTGTCCCTCTCTCTCTTTGGGCTGTATCCCGACCTACTGTTTACTCCCTAGCCTCTCCCCCAACACTATCTTCTGCATATAAACCAACGTTTTCCTAGCTACCATCAATTCTGAGAAAGGATCACCGGACCCGAAATGTTAACTGATTTTTTCTTCAGATGCTGCCAGACCTGCTGAGCTTTTCCAGCAATTTCTGTTTTTGTTTCTGATTTACAACATCCACAGTTCTTGCGGTTTTTATTCAGTTGGTAAGTTGAGTGGAGGAATAGCTGATGGACTTTAATCTGGACGAGTATGAGGTAATGCATTTTGAGAGGTTAAATGTAAGAGGAAAGTATAGAGTAAATGGCAGCACCATTAGGAGCATCGATACGCAGAGAGATCTTGGGGTGATTTACATAGCTCCCTGAAGGTGGCAACATAAATGGATAAGGTGGTACAGAAGGTGTAAGGCATGCTTACTCTCATCAGTCGTGGAATTCAGTAGAAAAGTTGGCATGTCAAGTTGCAGCTGTATATGACTTCAGTTGGACCACATTTGGAGTATTGTGTGCAGTTCTGGTCACCACACTAGAGGAAGGATATGGAGGTTTTGGAAAGGGTGTTATCAAGGTTCACCATGATGTTGCCTGGATTGGAGTTTATAAGGAGAGATTGGACAAACTTGGATTGTTTTTGCTGGAGTGTCGGAGGCTGAGGGGCGACCTGATAGAATTACATACAATTATGACAGGCATGGAAAGGACGGATAGTCTGACTCTTTTTCCCAGAATGCAAATGTGAAATACTAGAAGGCATAGGTGTAAGTCATAAGGGAGAAAGTTTAACAGAGAAAAAGGTGCTAAGGGACAGGAAAGGGAGAGGGGGTTCAGAGATTGCAGGTCAGGAGGTGGTCAGAGAAGAAGGGGATGACAGAGAGGGAGGGATGGCGGCTCAGAATCGGGCATGGGGAGTCGGTGTCAAGGAGGGGGGAGTCAGAGAGGGAATGGGGGCTTCGGAGAGGGGGAGAGACAGAGCTAGAGACAGAGGGGTGGGATGAGACAGAATCAGAAACATAATGAAAGAAAGAAGCAGAGTGACAGAGAGAGACAGTGAGACAGATATACGGATAAAAAAAGCAATCAAAGTGTGGAGAGATTCAGAGAGGTGCAGAGAGAAAGGTGGTGCAGAGCCCAAGTTAGACACCCAAACTGTTCCATCACTAACCTGACAAGAGCTTCCTTCAGTCGGGCATTCTGCTCCTCGAGCTGCTTGACCTGGTAACTGGAGGCAGCTCCATCAGTCCCTGCACACAGCAAATCTGGTTTTAATACAGTTCCCACAAATGCACAACCCTGTCCCACAGTGCAGCATTCACTCCGCACTGACCCTCTGACTGTATAACAGTTGCTCGGTGCAGCACAGGGCTGTCAGCCTGGCTTGTGGTTTAACCCCTTCATCTTGTGACACTGCCTCTACTGAGCAGGAATACCTGTGCTGTTTCCTGTGTGAAATTAGACTGACCATACTCAACCTTGTGCAAATGTTCACCTTTCTCTTCAATCTCATGCTTCAGGATCTCCAGGTCCATTGTCAACTCCTCAATTTTCTCCTTCAAGCTGTCAACCTCCTGTTGGAGAGATTCTGCTCGCTCCTCTGCCATCTCTTTGTCTAGAGTGGCCATCTCAATGGCATCAGCTGTGTCAGCCATCTCCTCCATATAGCGGTCTCTAGCTTCGAGAGCATCTTTTGCTTCCTAAAGAGTGAGGTGATAACACAGCTCAAATATATTCTCATCAAGTAAACACAGCCACAATATAGAGCTGAGACATTAAACACAGCCCTGGAATCAACCCCTGCAATTAAACAAAGACCCAGAAATGGCCACAGTTACTAAACACAGCCCCAGCAATAAAGAATAAAGAAGAGTACAGCAGAGGAACAGGCCCTTTAGACCACCAACACTGTGCTGAATCATGATGCCTTTCTAAACCAACAACTTTTTGTCCCTATGTGGTCCATATCCCTGTATTCCCTGCCTATTCGTGTATCTGTTTATGATGCCTCTTAAACGTTGCTATTATGCCTGCCTCCACCCCCTCCTCTGGCAGCACATTCCAGGCATTTACCACTCTGTGTAAAAAAAAATGTTCCTCTCGCATCTCCTTTAAAATTACCCTCTTGGACATTAAACCTGTGCCTCCTAGTAACTGACATTTCAATCCTGGGAAAAGGACTCCAACTATCTGTTCTGTCCATGCCTCTCTCAGTTTTGTAAACCTCTATCAGGTTACCCCTCATCCTTCAATATTCAAGTGAAAACAAACTGAGTTTGTCCAGTCTCTCCTCAGAGCTAGTACCCTGAAAACCAGGCAACATCCTGGTAAACTGTTTCCGTACCCTCTCCAAAGCCTCCACATCCTTCTGGTAGTGTGGCAACCAGAACTGTACACAATATTCCAATTGCGGTTGAACTAAGGTTCGATACAACTGCAATATGACTTGTCAATTTTTATACTCTATGCCCTGATCGATGAATACAAGCATGCCATGTGCCTTCTCGACCACGTCATCTACTTGTGTTGCTGCTTTCAGGGGACTATGGACTGCACGCCTAGATCCCTCTGCATGTTGAAGCTACTTTTTTTTGTATTCATTCATGGGATAAGGGCATCACTGGCTAGGCAGCATTTACTGCCCAGAGGGCAGCTGAGAGTCAACCACAATGTTGAGAGTCTGGAGTCACATGTAGGCCAGACCAGGTAAGGATGGCAGTTTCCTTCCCTAAAGGACATTAGTGAACCAGATGGGGTTTTCCCAATAATTGACAATGGATTCATGGTCATCATTAGATTCTTAATTCCAGATATTTATTGAATTCAAATTCCACCATCTGCCATGGCAAGATTTGAACCCAGGTCCCCAGAACATTACCTGGGTCTCTGGATTAACAGTCCAGCGATAATACCACTAGGCCATCACCTCACCCTAACCTAACCCTAACCCAGCTTATCTATATCCTGTTGTATCCTCTGGTAGTCCTCCTCACTATCTGCAGCTCCCCCAGTCTCTGTGTCATCTGCAAACTTACTCATCAGGCCAGTCACATTTTCCTCCAAATCATTTACACACATTACAAACAACAGGGGTCCCAGCACTGATCCCTTCGGAACACCACTGGTCACAGATCTCCAATCAGATAAACACCATTCCACTGTTACTCTCTGTTTTCTATCACTAAGACAGTTGTGTGCCCACATCACCAGCTCACTGCAGATCCCATGTGACTTCACCTCATGTACCAGCCTTCCATAAGGGGCCTTGCCAAAGTTCATGTAGGCACATACTGCCCTCACCAATCATCTTGATCACTTCCTCAAAAAACTCAATCAGATTTGAGAGATACAACCTCCCCCACACAAAGCTATTACTAATAACTCCATATTTCTCCAAACCTGAATAAAGCTTGTTCCTAAGAATGACCCTGGCTGTTAAATCCCCCGCCCCAGCAGTGCGCACTGTAATTAACAAGCCCCCCCTCAACCCCAGCAGTGCGCCCTGTAATTAACCACTCCCTTCCTCACCTCGGTAATGTGCGTGGTAATTAAACCCCCTCCCCACCTGCCACCGACCCCGCCCCCGGTAAATAAATAAACCCCCCACTCCCCCAGCAACACGCACGGTAAATAAATAACCCACACCCCCAGCAACGCACGCAGTAAATAACCCCCACCCCCAGCAACGCGTGCGGTAAATAAATAACCCCATGCTGCCCCGCCCCGGCAACGCACATGGTAAATAAACACAAATTGTTGCTGTTGTTTGTGATCACTTTGAACTCGTTAACATTCGGGACTGTAGAAGCAGCTCTGTTTCCCTTCCTGTTACTCAGCAAGCTGTGGTTGTTCAGTCTGTGACTGAGCGACAGGGGGCGATGCTAATTAAAACTGAGTGAAACATTAACCTTTTTGGCCTCTTTGAGCTGCCGCTGAAGTTCATTCTGCTGCTCCTGCATCTTCTGTTTCCATTCCTGCAGTTGCTCAAACTGTATCTTGAACTTCTCCAGCTCTTTTAGTTTGGCTCGATCCTCATTTCTCTTCATTTTCAAAGTCTCTAGTTTCTCTTCAAGATCCTTCACCTGGGTTCGGAGAGTCTCCTCTTCCTACAAAGACAGGACACCAATGGAAATTTGTATTTACCTTGACACAGCCCAGATGCAGCATAATTGCGAGTAATCAGTTATAAACGATAAGAGAGAGCCAGTAGATGCAGTGTGTTTGAATTTTAATATGGGTGCTTCACAAGAGGTTCATGGGCAAATTTAGGGGACATGGGATAGCTGTTAATATACTGGCCTGGATGGAGAATTGGATTTGACAGACAGGAAACAGAAGTGAATAGGTCTTTTCCTGAGTGGTGGGCAGTGATTAGCAGGGTACCACAGACATCAGTGCTTGGGTCCCTGCTGTTCGCAATATGTGTAAATAAAAATTGCTGGGGGAACCAATTACAACATTTCCAAGTTTTCTGACAACACAAAACTAGGCAGGATTGTGAATTGTGAGGAGGCGGCAAGGAGGCTTCAAGGTGATTTAGACAAGTTGAGCGAGTGCAGTGCAACGAGGCTAAAGGTGAAGTTTACACTTCAGTGTAAAAATGAGACAGGCAGGTTATTATTTCAATGGTTCCTGAAACGTTAACTCTCCACAGATGCTGCCAGACCTGCTAAGTTTTTGCAGCAACTTCTGCTTTTGTTTCTAACTTCCAGCATCCACAGTTCTTTCAGTTTCTTCCATGATGTAAATGATGAAATATTAGGACATGTGGATGCACTAAAGGATTTGGGTGTTTGCGTACACCAGTCAATGAAAGTAGACAGGCAGCTACAGGAAATGGCCTTCATCGCAGGAGGATCGGAGTTCAAAAGCACGGATGTCTTACTACAGTTATTATGTGCAGTTTTCAACTCTGTACCTAAAAAAGAACACATTTATCACAGAGGGAATGCAGTGGAGGTTCACTCAGCTGACACTTGGATGATTGGACTGTGCAGAGGAGAAATTGGTTCAATTCAGCATCTATTCACTGGAGCTGTGGAAGATTAGGTGAGGTGAGATATGATTGAAACATATGAAATTCTAACAGAACTGGACAGACAACATCAAAAATAGGAACAAAAACAGTCATTTGTTTCTTTTTTGTTATTAAGAGCAGGAAGCACTGATTCACACTTTAAATTGTCTCTTACCCAACTTGGCATATTGATTTAATGAATTTGGTTTCATCATAAATCAATCATTTTGCGTTTATTAGAGAAACCTGGCTGATATTTTCAAACTAAATCTAATATAGAGAAAACACACTATTGGCCATATTAGGGAGAAGGGATCGCGAATGTAAGGTGGAAATGAGGAGGAACTCTCTTCCACAGAGAATCATAGAGTTCTACAGCACGGAGACAGGCCCTTCGGTCCAAACTGGTCCATGTCGACCAAAATGTCCATCCCTATTTCCCTGCACTTGGCCCATATTCTTCTAAACCTTTCCTAATCATGTATTCATCCAAATGCCTTTTAAATGTTGTTAATGTACCCGCCTCAATCACTCCTGCTGGCAATTCATTCCATATGCGTACCACCCTCTGTGTAAAAAAGTTGCCCCTCAGACTCCCATCTATTCTTTCCCCTCTTACCTTAAACTGATGCCCTCGAGTCCTTGATTCCCCGACCCTGGGAAAAAGACTGAGCGCATTCACCCTATCCATGCCTCTCATGATCTTACTTCTATAAGATCCCCCTCAGTCTCCTACACTCTAAAGAAAACAGTCCTAGCTTTTCCACCCTCTCCCTATAACTCAGTCCCTTGATTCCTGGTAACATCCCTGTAAATTTCTTCTGCACTCTTTCCAGTTTAATAACATCCCTCCTATAGCAAGGTGAGCAAAACTGAACACAATACTCCAAGCGCAGCCTCACCAATGTCCTGTACGACTGCAACATAACTTCCCAACTTCTATACTCAATCCCCTGACTGATGAAGGCCAGTGCGCCAAAAGCCTTTTTCACTGCTCTGTCTATCTGGGACTCCACTTTCAGAGAACCGTGCACCTGAACTCCAAGGTCCCTCTCTTCCACTGCACTCCTTAATTGTTCTTCTATCTCCCGCTGGCTGTTGGGAGGCCTATAGTAAACCTCAAACATTGTGACTGCACCCTTCCTGTTCCTGAGCTGTACCCACATTTCCTCGCTGCATGAGCCATCCAAGGTGTCCTCCTGCAGTACAGCTATGATATTCTCCTTAACAAGTAGTGTAACTCCCCCACCCCTTTTATATCCCCCTCTATCCCACCTAAAACATCTGTATCCTGGAACATTAAGCTGCCAATCCTGTCCCTCCCTTAACCAAGTCTCTGTAATAGCAACAACATCATAGTTCCAAGTACTAATCCAAGCTCTAAGTTCATCTGCCTTACCTGTTACACTTCTTGCATTGGAACAGATGCACTTCAGTCCACCAGATCCACTTCGATAAGCAACCACATCCTGCCTGCTGAGTCTTACTGGCCCTATTCTCTAGTTCCCTTTCAGTCCATTCACCTTTGCTTTGGTTCCCACCCTCCTGCCAAGCTCGTTTAAATCCTCCCGAGTGACACCAGCAAATCTCCCAGCCAGAATATTTATGCTGCTCCAGTTTAGATGCAACCCGTCCTTCTTGTACAGGTCCCACCTGCCCTGGAAGAGATCCCAATGGCCCAGATATCTGAAACCCTCCCTCCTACACCATCTGTTTAGCCACATGTTGACCTGTACAACCCTCCTATTTCTAGCCTCACTGGCACGTGGCACAGGGAGTAATCCTGAGATTACAACCTTGGAGGTCCTGCTTTTTAACTTTCTCCCTAACTCCCTGAACTGCAGCTGCTGGACCTTGTCACTCATCCTACCCATGTCGTTAGTGCCAATATATACCACAACCTCTGGCTGTTCACCCTCTCCCTTCAGAATGCTTACTGCCCATTCAGAGACATCCTGGACCCTGGCACCAGGGAGGCAACACACCATCCTGGAGTCTCTCTTCCGTTCACAGAAGCACCTATCTGTACCCCGAACTATCGAGTCCCCATAACTACTGCCTGGTGCTCTTTGTCCTTTCCTTCTTAAGAACAGAGCCAGCCATGGTGCCACCAGTCTGCCTGCTGCTGCTGTAACCCCCTGATGGGTCATCCCCCTAAAACAGGATCCAAAACGGTATACTTGTTAGAGGGGGGGACGACCACAGGGGATTCCTGCCCCTTCTCGGGGTCACCCATCTATCTGCATGTCTTTTGAACAAAATAAAATGTATCTGCAAATATAAATTCACTCCATAGATTCACGCGTGTGCGCGCGAGAGAGAGAGACAGAGACAGAGAGAGAGAGAGACAGACAAGACAGACAGACAGGGACGGAGGTGCGGGGGGCGGAGGAAGGGAGTGTGTGAGGGAGGGGGAAAGAGAAGCCGTGTGCGGGAGTGCACGTGTGGGAGCGCGCGAAGGGGTTAGAGAGAGAGAGAGTGTGCGCGTGCGGAAGGAAAGTGAGAATGTGTATGTGCGTGTGCATGCGCACACACATAAGGGAGAAAGAGAGTGTGCGCATGCGTGCCTTCAGGACAACATTAACCACAACACACTACAACCCTGTCATGGCAACATCTGCAACACGTCAGACCTTCGACATGGACACTACCATCACACGTGGGAACACCACGCACCACATACGTGGCAGATACTCATGTGACTCGGCCAATGCTATCTATCTCATACGCTGCAGTCAAGGATGCCCGAGACACGGGATATTGGCGAGATCATGCATACGCTATGACAATGGATCAATGAACACTGCACAACAATCGCCTGGCAGGGATGTTCCCTCCCAGTCAGGGAACACTTCAGCAGTAAAGGACATTCAGCCTTGGATCGTCAGGTAAGTGTTCTCCAAGGTGGATTTCAGGATGCACAACAATGCAGAAGCACCGAGCAGAGGCTGATAGCCAAGTTCGGTACCCATGAGGATGGCCTCAACTGAGATCTTGGGTTCATGTTGCACTATAGGTGACGCCACACTATACACACTCATACACATACACACACACTCTCCCTCACACATGTACACACGTACACACATACACACATGAATCTATGGAGTGAATTTATGTTTGCAGATACATTTTATTTTGTTCAGAAAGTACACAATTTATAGACAAGTCAGTCAACGTGGTGTTTTATAAATTCTTGCTTTGGAGATAAACCAAGGCAATTCTTGTGCTTGTCTCTGCCTAGCCTGTCCCAGGATCCCAGGACAACACCAAGATCCTGGGACAGGCTAGACAGAGACAAGCACGATAATTCCCAGAAGCCTGGCACACCACGAAGCATGCTATTAATAAACACATTGAACTCGACCCCATGTACATTCCACTACGAAGGAAAACCAGAAGTGAGGCAATCCATCTCAAAGGACCCCAGAGTTTGAAAACCAGGCAGGGAAACACACCGATGCTTCGTCAGAGGCTGCACTGATGATGTTACCCAGCAGGGTAACAAAACGTCTGCGAAACAAGAAACCAGCTCGTCGAGCCAACCAACCTCAACATTTACATATACATATTAATCAATTAAAACTTTCTAACTGATTAAAGATTTAAAGCATCTCAGGTTGGTTTAATACATCCTCATCAGTGGTCTTGATCTTTTACTTATAAATTCTGTGTCTGATACTACCTCTTTCACTAACACCTGAACAAAGAGTGAGGCTCTGAAAACATGTGATTTCAAATAAACCTGTTGGATTATAACCTGGTATTGTGTGGTTCCTGACTTTGTCCACCCCAGTCCAACACCGGCATCTCCACATCGAACCTTACCAAAGACCTCCCTGAAATCCATGTAGACTACGTCTACCACCCTGCTCTCATCAACCTTCCTGGTCACTTCATCAAAGAACTGTAACAAATTTGAGAGGCATGATCTCCCACGCACGAAGCCATGCTGACTACTCCTAATCAAACCCTGTCTTTCCAAATAAGAACATAAGAACATAAGAACTAGGAGCAGGAGAAGGCTATCTGGCCCCTCGAGCCGCCCTGCCATTTAATAAGATCATGGCTGATCTTTTTGAGACTCCG